TAAAAAAAAAAATAATTATTATTATTATTCTAAATTTCCGATTAAATTTGATTGGTATTATTTATCGTTACGTCTAATTAATGCGCTTGATATACGTTAGAAAATTAATAAAAAGTAATTTTTTAAATTATTTTATAAAATACTTTTATTGATTGAGCAGCGATAGCTCGGAGACGTCATCCGAGCTCGTCACGTGACCCGCGATGACGTCTTCGTTGAATCACACCGCCTCGACCTCAGTGCTCACAAGTCTCCGAGTTGTTGTAGCAACCACTTCGGTCTTCCGTTTACAGTTAACATGAATTATATTTTTACCGTCGTTTTATTAACGGCGAAAATCTTCATTACTCTTCAAGCGAAAGGTAAGAACCTGCGATTTGTGTATTATATAAAAAATTTTTTTCTACATTTAAAAAAAAAATATAATATATATATATATATATACATTACATTACATATATATGTATACACACACATATATACACATATATAAACGCGTGGTATATTAGGCCTAACGTCGGCCTTCTTCAATGTCTTTTATTCGGATCTTTCCACTTGTGTTGGCGCGGAAAATCGAATTAACTTGATTTAACCGAAGGGAAAAAAATATCTAAAATGCCATTTTCGATTATTGTACAAATGCGCGTAAAAAATGGCATTGTTTTAAACTTATAAAACTATTTTATCAATAGAAACAAAAGAAAAAAAATATAAGAAAAGAAAAAGAAAAAATAGCGCAATATATGCAGAAGATGCGGAGCGATCTGCAAGAGATATAAAAATATAAAAAAAAGGAAAAAAAAAAAATTCAAACAAAAAAAAACGCGCAATTCAATGCAATCGATCAATTCGAAATACAGTTTTAATTTTTCATTCTTATTTATTTATTGTATAATCGATATTTAAAGGCCGGTTGAATTTCCTTTTTTGTTTTACTTGTATTATAACACTATTAATTATATTAGACAATTTACAATTCTACATAAATTAACTTAAAATCTTGTTGAACGAATCGAAATCGCTTTGAATGATGCTAAATTTTAAATTGATTTACTGAAGTGGAAGGAATCCAAGTTGTTGAAAATTTATCCAGGAACATATTGATCAGTTTAAATTGGAACATAAAGATATTTTAAACCGATTCCTCTCTTCAAAACCATTAATCTTTATATAATTAATGAGGTATATATAGTGCAATTAAGTCTCTCTCTCTTTTTACAGCTTTTAAATATTTCAATACATTATTATAAGTTTTTCATTATACGTATATGTCACCCCTTTTTTCTCCTAGTGTCTTTTAACTAACATTTAAAGGATGTACATATTATTTAAATTTTGTCATAATTAATAGAATTAATGATTCATAAACAACCATTTAATTCATTTATGTATATTTATAATATATATAATTACACAATTGTTCTGTGATTATTAATGGATCTAGTTGTGGAAAGCGTGGGGGGTTTTTTAGAAGATATATATTTGTCTGCGCGAATGTAATCACGTTAGGCATTTTTGTGCATATAATTTACTAACAGTTTGTTGGGATATAAACTTGTCATCACTATCCTGTCAGATGCAGATGCCCGTTTATTGCCGCCTGGCGTAACGACTAAAAAGGAATGCTGGGAATCGCAAGTAGAAGTAATAGAATTCGCTTATTCAAAGAAAACTGAAATCCGAGTAGGGTGTTCCCTCTAGCGCTATGTCTATCTTACAACCAAATAAATAAATATATAAAAGAAAATATTCAGAAGAAATCTAGACTTAGGCGAGAAAAACTCTGAGAAAAATCGCATGTTCGGTTTTTTTTTCTTTCTTTATTTCTAGTGTTATAACGGAATTCTCACATAAACACGCCATTTGTATCGTTACAAATTTCAGTTTTGTGCTTTTTTTTTCTTTTTCTTCTTCTTCTTCCGAGAGATTGATGACGGTAGGTTGAACATTGTTCCATCGCTGTTTACTACGTAGTCTTTTTTTCGAGTACAGGAAGTCAGGTTGGAGAACCGAAGACTTTTGTCGACAGATGGAGACAGGCCTTATCACTGTACCATCTGTCAAAGTCCAGGTGCGAGTAGGTAGACCACGTCCACATCTGCCTTGCCACACCTGCCCGCTTTAGGTTGCCTAGGTGGAGATGGCCTATTTTGTTCGCGGTGAAAACGGAACTGATATTTATTATTATTTTTTTCTTTTTTAGACTAGAACTGTTCTTATTTCTGTAATAATTTCTGCAGAAGAATAGCTAATTTTGTTTTTTTTTCTTAATCGTTAAACGAATTGCGGGTCGATTACTTATAAATCAGAGAACTTCATTTACATAACTCAGAAATTCAGCACGAATTCCTGTCTCCTTTTATTTCCATTTGTAAACCGAACATATGTTCTACTAGTTGCCAGTTGCATTTGTTTTGCAGATTTTGCTAGAAAGTCAGGACTGACAAGTAGACTAAATTTCTTTCTTTCTTTATTTTTTTTTTCTAACAATAAATCGGGTTTTTTAATTAGTTAGAAAGACGTTAAGAAATATGTTACATATATCATTTAATTACAATAACGAATTAAATTGTTTTAGTGAAATAAATAAATAATTAAATTAGAAGTTCTTACGCGAAGGGAAAAAAACCAGATCGTTAAATTTCAAGATGAATATTTCAAAGCAGTTCCCCGAATTTTTTATCTCATTCTTTTATCATCACTTCCATAATTAAATCTTTTGGCAAATATTTGCTCTTTGGAGAACTTAGACGGAAGTTCTGCGCAATTAAATAAGTTTTTATATCAATTTTTTAAATACTAAAACCTCATAATATAATGATATATAATTTTAAACTAGTTTCTTGAAGTAATTTAATTTCTCCGTAAATTAATATTTTTCTTATAACTGTACATAATCTATTGAAATTGTATAAAATTTAATCAGCTCTTTGATAAATTACAATTTCATAGTTTAATTTTAAAAACGATTAACGTTATTAATTTAATAGTAATTTTTTTAAATGTTATTGTAAGTAATATCCTATGGAATTTATTTGAAAAATCATAAAAACAATTAAGAAGAAAATTGATTTAACATAGTTTCATTCGTTTAATGATGTGGAATCTTATTTATTTAATCAATCAAACGAGGAATACAAAATGGTTCAAATATAGTTGAAACACATGTTAAATATTAATAAGTAATAAATAATAAATTCGCAGGATGATTAGATCTACCGTAAGAAAATTTATTTCATTTTTTTTTCACTTTGTAATAAGTACAGTACACACTTACTACAAAGTGTATATAATTGGCCTATTATTTAGCTTATGAACATATTTATTAGGTCTTTACATAGATGAATTTTAACGTATTCCATATCTTATGCGGAATATATATATATATATATTCTCTTAATTCCAACATATATATGTATACACACACATATATACACATATATGTGTGTGTATACATATATATGTAATGTAATGTATATATATATATATACATTACATTACATATATATGTATACACACACATATATACACATATATAAACGCGTGGTATATTAGGCCTAACGTCGGCCNCTATTATTTAGCTTATGAACATATTTATTAGGTCTTTACATAGATGAATTTTAACGTATTCCATATCTTATGCGGAATATATATATATATATATTCTCTGCCCTGTGATAAATAATTGTCAAGGTCATTTTTTCAAAAACAATAAGTTTTTTGTTCTTATATTTTTAAGGCAAATTATTTAAGCCGTTATTGATTTTTTTAATCGAATAGAGAAGTCATTGCGAATTGGGAAACGAGTTCACTAGTCCAAGAACACTCAATACATAATTCTCGAGATAAATACGGGCCCACTTGCAGGTAATAAGTGATAATGACTTGAAATGTAAAATTTAAAACAATAGCTTACATTCGTTACTCAACAAGCTAAATCGCTATCGTCAATGTCCAACATGGCCGCTGTTGAGGATGCTATTGATTCGGTACTTAGCTTCGGACAGCCTGGCATTGACAGAGAATATATCCGGCGCCTCTCGGGGAAAAGTTACCTACATCCAATAAGTCAATAAATTTTCATTTTATTCTTACCGAAATGCGAAATGTTATTTGGTTTATGTCGTTTTTATAAATTAATAATATTGAAATTTTCATACAAAGATTTGATCGATATAATTAAGGAACTTTTATGAACACTTTTCTCGTCTCTAATGAAACTATCATGTAAATTTTATCCTTCTCTATACTCCTTTTATTCTCGTACGCATCTCGCGTACCGTATCCATCGATCGGTCACAAAATTAAGCAAAGGAGATGGGTCGTCGAACCTCAAAGCCTTTTATGTTTAGTATGGCGATTCACCAATACCTTCACTTAGAACTTTCTTAAATTATTTCTTCTATTACACATTTAAAAGAAACGTGTCAAGGATACGGACTATGTATGTAATCAGTCTAATAGAATATTTTGCAACTATGAAATTTTGCCACCATCGTGCTACATTATTTTCTGGATAAGAAACGTGATCCAATTTTTATATTGTACCCATGAAACTTTTTCATATATAATAGGCCTATGTTACGCATCTGATGGTTTTTCGAATTTGTTTTCTCATACCGAAAATAGACAAAGTCGGAATAGAACGTTAAGTCAGATTACTATTTTCTTTTGTGAAACAGTCGGTTGTCCCTGACAATTCCTGATACGTAAGAAACTTGATTCACCATTTCCTTCCTCGTATTATTTTTCTATTTTCGATTATAAACTATGATTAAACCGAAATGAAACAGTCGAAATTACCTTGGTAACATTGACGTCATTTTCCAAATTAAACAAAAAAAAAAAAAAATTTTTTTATGGATTAATGCATCGTGGAAAAGGACAAAGTTATCAAGAAAGTTGAAACATTTAAACATAAAATTTGGATGTAAACTTCTCGCTGGTATCGTAAATATGGACTTTTTGGCGACATCTCCCCATTTATCCCATAAATTATTAAAGTTTGGCCAAATCAGAGATTTCTGTCCATTCTTTCGAAACATTTTTATCAATTCGGAAATTTAACGTCGGTGATCTATTGACCATACAATTTTGTTGAAAGTAATTGAAGGAAAGAATTCATTATCGTAAAACGTTTCGCTCTATCACTAATGTTATTTAACATAGATTTTTCAATATTATTTTCCGCTAAAAATTGGCTGAAATATCGTATTTCGAATTAAACGATTTAGTTTTAAATCTTGATATTATAATAATTTCCTGTCAAGGACTCCTATCAGCAGCCTTTTTGTAACTCATCGCGATTAAGTCAAACGGTGGTTGTAAATTATGGGTCAAGGAAAATTTTCGAACAGTTTTC